GCAAGCACGATTGTTTACCTATTGATTCAAAACATGAAAATACTTCAAATGTTAACCATAACTCAGTCCTGGAGTTGTAAGGAATATTGGCTGCACACTCTATTGCTTAATGAACACATGGTTATTACTTAAGGATTACCAAATAAACTCAATTTTTGGTTTTGCATAAAACACACAGAATAACAGAGCTGCGGAAAGATGGAGCAACAGAAACATCCAGAGTATCAACCAATACAGATAAATAAGTTCCATCAAGGCAGATAATAAAATCAGAAAATCCAAACAAGCCTTCCACTGGGCAGATGCTAAGAGGACCCTTGCTTACTATTCACATATTCTATTGGACTCAGAACCTATAATTACTTATAATCACTCTCAAACGGGCTTTTAGTGGTGATAAGTCTTCCAAGTTTCCCCTTTCGATGTGCCAAAGATTTTTTTCCAAACAATCTCTTCGCGAGTTAGAAATTTTGCCCTTATTTCAACACAGTAAAACTCAACCCTTGTCAGCCATTCCATTCCTTTAATTCCTTTCCCTTCCTAACAGCCAACTCTTTCCAAGAACTTTTCTAAAATTCAATTATAATATACCCCACAGCCCACATAGAATAAAAAAGACCATTTATCAATTAAAATCAAGCCATCAAAATTATAATAAGTAAATGCCTAAATGTAAATGGTAAAAGACTAAAAGAATTGAAAGAAACTAGAACTCACTGCCACAGTCAAGTGCCACTGGTAATTGGTTGTTTGGTTTTCGACAACAAAAATGCCCATTGCCCAGGCCCCAGCCACAGCTAGTAGGCGTTTGAACTCACTGGGAGACGTCTCCAAGGAACTACAAGTCTGCAAACTGCATGCGAATGGAATGATTCGTGTGAAGCCAAGAGTGAACTAACCAAGCAAGGAAATGTGGGATTTTGGTCTCTGGAAGTCTGGAACAGGAGCTGGAAGCCTGGAGTTGGAAGCGGAAGAAGGAGATGTCGAGTCGAGCGAGAGAGACTCAGAGATGGCACTTCAGACGGAGACGGAAAGCGTTTGCCGATTGGGGGAAAATAAATTTCAATTTGGGCATTTGGGGGAAATTGGATAATGGATCGGGTTTAGTGGATTACGGGTAGGCTTGAGCTTGAGAGTTTTGGGCTACTCTTGGCTAGGGCCTAGGCTGCTATTACTAAAAAAAAGGGGGGGGCCAACAAAATGAGGCCCCTTGGATATTGGCCCTGAGGCGCAAGCCTCATTTGCCTAGCCTCAAGACCGAGCCTGGTGGGGATGATTTTGGTTTGGAAGTGAGAGAATTAGAGAAGGAGATGAGGGTTCGAGGGCGTGATTTTTTTTTTAATTTTTAATGTAATACAAGAAATGTGTTTTGACCAAATTGTCCTTGCCTTATGTAGGGGTAAATTATTAAATTTCTCATTACTAGGGTCAACTAACGATTTTGGTGGTCAAACAGACATAAACCATCAATTTGGATTGAACCCCCGAATTTTTTAAAGGTTTGGTACCTCTGTTGGTACAAATGAAAGGTTTGAATAAAGTCTGTTAATAAATGAAATGTTTGGTACCTTGGCTACAATTTTTCCTATTTGTAGCTTGAGGATATAAAATAGGGAAAATTGCAGTCAAGGTGCCAAACCTTTGGTTTATTAGTAGACATTGCTCAAATCTTTAGTTTGTGCCACCTATGATATCAAATCTTTCAAAAATTTGCAGTTGAAGTCCAAATGGATGGAAACTGTTAGTTTGATCGTTAGTTGACCAAAAAATAACATTGATCATAATTTTGACTAATTTTAAAAGGATAAAATGGTAATTTTCAACAAAAAACATAATTATAATATATTAATAATTAAATTTATAAAAAAAAATAAAAAACAAAAACACTGTTCATCTTCTTCTCCACTTCCCTTCACGCTAACGTCTAGTAGGATTGTAAAGGGATGGCAAGTGACCTGCTACAACAAAGTCAATTTAGGGTTGCTTTTGTTATAACTCAAATGATAGATTTTGAACCCACAAAGGATCTGACACGATAAGGATCAAAGGTACAAAGAGAGCATTTTTCTTTTTTTTTTAATCATTGATTGTTGTTAACTCTTTTCTTTTTTAGAGTTAAAAATATTGACCAAAACAAATAATGTGATAAAATAATAAAATTATATATATATATATATATATAGACAATGGCGGTGATTGTTGTTGGTGTGGCAATGATGGTTTGTGCGGGGGCGACGGCGATGGTTGGTGATGGTGTGGTTGTCGTTCTTTGAAGGTGGTAGTGGTGCGTTTAGAAATAGTGATGGTAATGGGTTGTTGATATAAGGTGAATGTTATGGTGCCATCGATGGTGGAACCGAGTGGAAGTGAGGTGGGAGAGATGAAGGGTAATTTGTGATTATTTAATTGGATAATTATGACCAGTTAATTTGATAATTCGTGATCAATTAATTTGAATTTGTGATCAAGAAATAATTAGTGATCAATTAATTTGATAATTTATGACCAATAAATTCGATATTTTGTGATTGATAAATAAGTTGTCATTTATAAAATTTGTGATTTGTGACTGTAATGTTATGTGATTGTGACTAATATGTAATTCTGATCACAAACTGTATTTATTGTGATCTTAACATATTTAATTATCTATCTAATTAATACCACGTGATTTTTGAAAGAATTTTACACGTCTGTCAAATTTGAAAATGTATCTTTTAAAGGTTGGTAATTACGTATTTTTCCCCCTTCAAAATCCATCAAACTCTTATGTTCGCAGGCCTACTAAATATTTAAGTTATAATCAATGCACGAGAGTTCAAGACACAGACTCGAACATCCGTTTAGATGGTATATGTTAAGTTCAATGAAATACAAGAATACAAGATGTATTTAATTAGGACATATCATTTAATGTTACCTAATTTGGTATTATAACACTGAAATTAGATACTATTATTCAAAATTGTATATATTATTTTTCTTAACAGCATCTATAAGAAAAGGACAATCAATTATATTGACTAAGTTTTTGTTTGAGTCCCATTTTATCAAAAATTTACATCTTTTTTTTTTTTTTTTTTTTTTTCTACGGAAAAAAAATTTGCAATTTTTTTTTTAGCTAGCAAAACTCATTTTCAATCATATACTCTCCAATAAAATAATTTTATACATAAATCGAAAACTTTTTTTCTTTTTTTAATTTCTTAACCACACGTTCTGTAAAAAAATATTATTCCAGAATATTTCTCCCAAAATGGAGCTCAAACAAGGGCGCTTTGTTATTTATCTTTAATTTCACATAAGTGCATTGCAACACTTTTGAGTCTTTGCCCATGTTCTTGATCCAACGTGGAGATAGTGTATGTTCATTGTCACTTCACATTTAAGAATAATCAATTTAACAAGGAGATAATAGTATCACGAGGACTAACCAAAGATTTTTTTTTTTTTTTAAATACATTTTTTCCTTAATATCGTTTGCAACTACACATTCTGCACCCGTTGGCCACATTATTTCAAAATTTAAAGTGTGAAATAGTACTTTTTTTTTTTTTTGAGAACGAGTAATCAAAAAAAAAGGAAAAGTTTTCGACTACATATAATATTATTTTATAAAAGATTGTATGATTGAAAATAAGAGTGAAAAAAATAAAATTTAATTTAATGAGAGCCTAACGAGTCTCCACTTTTTACTCAAATATTCTTCTTTAAAAAATATTTCTCTCTTAAAAAATCTGCCCCAAACGTGCTTTTAGTTATCAACCACAAACTGGATATATTAAAATTGTGTGATTAAATGATTCAAAAAGTTAAGAAGCAAAGGACAAATTGAATAGAAGGAGAGCCACCCGGGCGGTTGCTTTTTAAGAAGACCAAGGAATACGATTATGAGTTCCACAAGCCTCCGTGTTTGTCTCTATTGCACAATTTTCCGCCACTTATGCTATACACGTGGTTTTATTTGATTATTTCATTTTCATCCACAAGTTGGTCGATCTCAGAGCATCGATGAAGCGTGAATGACTAAAAAAATTGTCACATAAACAAAACGAAAATTTTTATTTTATTTTTTGGGAAAATTGCAATAGCGGTCCCTAGCTTTTTTCATTTTTGCAAACTTTATTTTGTGCCAACAGAAGTTTCTAACCCTTCATAAATATGCACCTGAGATCCATTTGATCGAAAACAGTCCAAACCACCGTCATTTGATTAGGAAAATTAAGAAATCAACATCCTATAAAAGCATCCAAAAAGGTATCAACATCCAATAAAATTATCGCAATGGCAGATAGTTCAAGGAATTTCTTCCGTCAATTAACAGTGTTTTGGACGATTTCCGTTCAGATGAACATCAAGTGCATATTTATGAAAGGTCAGAGACCTTTGCTAGCACAAAATAAAAGTTTGGATAAAGTCTGCAAAAAAACAAAAAAATCAGGAACCGCACCTACGATCTTCCCCTTATTTTTAATCTCCAACACAACAAAGGAATAAACAAACATTGACTAGTGTCCAGACCTCCATCTAAATTTAAAAAAATAGTAGATATTTATATATACTATTAGACGTGTTGACTCAACGAAATTGATATAACTCGTTGCAAAAAGAAAGATTGGAGTGCCTAATATCGAAATTCTTTCAACTTAAACTACACCTATATAACAATCATCCGAATGCATTGAAAATGCCCATGATGAACAGCAAAATATCCCAACCACAGGTTTTCCCAACCTGACTCTTATTTTTTAAGCTTTTAGATTTGAATCGTATTTAAAAAAACTTAATAAGTAAATAGGAAAAAAGAGAAAAAAGGGATAAGTTTAATCCTAGTCCCACCTCTCTGGAATCACCAGATGGGTGGATTTCCATCCTTACGACTTGATCGATTCGCTTGGTCTAAGACTTGTGGTCTCATCAATAATTTCTATTGAAGCAATGTGACTGAAACTACTACTTTAGTACTGTAGAAATTCATTATTTATGAACTTAATCTCAAATTAACTAACATCACAACACAAAACTGTGTCCTGGATTGATATACTGATAATAACTCAAATCCATGTGTACTGTAATAAACATGACAAGAAGTAATACAACAAATTCTTTGTCAATTTCACAGCCCGACTTTAGACAGATATTCAACTTTTGATTAATGATATGCATATTTAAATGTTCCCCTTCAAGTAATCTCTCACCAAAATCTTCATGGTCTGATGCCTCGGCTTTTTCTAATTCTACGGGTGGAAGTTGTATATGGTGACATTCTGGCAAGTCTACTAGGACTGGTATGGTCTTCATCATCACTCGTGTCATCAGATCTCCACCGCGGTCCACCATTAGGATTTATGTTCCCAAAAGGAAAGTCCTTTGCTTCATGACTGAGAAATGCAGAATGAAAATGCAAGCGCACAAAACAGCATAAGGAGCAGCGATTTTTCCGCCAGTAAGTAACACAAGCAGTTAAGAAAGCACGGAAAAGAAACTGAGGGTGTTAGAAGGGATAACATTACCTCCGAGGCGTGTCCACTAAATTATTCAGGGGTGGTATCCAAGGTCTATCAGCTGTGTCTGGCAGCAAATGCTTATCGTAGATATTTTGGTCTAAATCTTGAGCGAGTTCTGAGAACAAGCTATGGTTGCTACCAAGCGACGTGACAGGATTAGCAGCAGCCCTGGTGAAAAATGAACTCGAAAATTGCAACTGGTCAACCGAGCCATTTTGTGATCTCTCTGGATAAATTTTGTTCCTTTGATTATTTTGGAAAATGCTATTTCGAGGAACACTTGATGTTCTGTTGAACTCTTTAAGTGAGGAGGCAGTTCGAGGATTTAAAGGATTTGCAGAAATTGAAATGTCATCAGAGTTAGGAAGAACTCCAAAAACCCTTCCAGTGTTGAGTTCTTTATTTGCCCTGTTGAAAAAATTTGTTGAGGCAGTAGAGGAGCTAAAATTTCCGATGCCAAAACTAGAAATATTAAGAGGTCCACCAATTTTTGGAGTTTGAAGAACTGGAAGTTTCAAGGGAGGACTAGCAATGTCCGTGATCCCAGCAAGGGAAGAATCAATGGCTGAAGGAATTAAAAAACTACTCAAGATTGGACCTTGTACTTGAGGGAGATCAGATTTTGGTGGAATATTGGCTTCATTATGACTAGAAACGTCAACTTCAGGAATTTTTCCAGTCTTCACTTCTTGTTGTAAGATATCTGGCAACAACTCAGTGCCTCTCCGCTGCAGAAGAGCACAAGTTTCAGAAAATTGTTCTATTTACATCAAATTTTCAGTCAGAATCAGTTCACTGTCAACTCAAAGCACACTCGAATGGCACCCCAGAAATCTTCATCCCAAGACACCACACACAACACCATAAATATGAAACATAATAAAGAAAAAGGAAATACACACGGTTAGTATTCTCCCTAGTTTGATCTTATTGTGTCCCTGATACACACTTCCCCATTTTACAATAGTTTGATTGAAATACATGGTTCCCTCATTGAACGAATGATCCCGTGTTATAAAAGAACAATCAAGGTAACTATAGAACTGATAAAGCCCGACTTACCAAGAAAAAATGTAATAAAAAATGAGGAATAAGAAGAGACCAAGTCTGACTAAAAAGCCTTGATCTATCAACAAAGCATAAGAGAAGTCAAATTACAGCCCCATGTATAACTTTTGGGCCTTTGAAATTACAGGAACTACGAGCTGTCGTATAAAATAAGCTGTGTAAGAAAGAAAATCAATCAAGCCAGCAAAGCTGCAAAAGAACATATCCGGAGGGTAAACGGTTGATATGGTGTCCTGAAGTAGCAAAAATACAGAAAGCATGTACATGATGTTTGATAAGGGTTTCTATTCAAGTGGAGATAATAGATTTGATGATTAATCATGTATCCGCATCTTTCAAGCAACTTTTGCACCTATTACGTCAAGACTCAAACTCAATTGATATCTGCATTTTCAAGCAACTTTTGCACCAATTAGGTCAAGACTCAAACTCAGTTTGTTCCTTTATTTATGTCTCATTAGCTTATTCAGTTATTCTTTATTTGTTAATTCATAACCACACAGAAATGGTAACTGAAGAGTAACCATAAAAAAAGCAAGACCACTTACAACTAATTCTGTTCTCCAATGACTTTTTGACCTTATTTTAAATGAGTCTTCTTCACCGACTGAATTTTTTGAAATGAAGTCTTCCTCTGCCTTCTGAAGTGTACAATGCACTTGGAACGCCTCAATGTACCTGTGACGCTGAAATGGTAAAGAAACACAATCTGAGTGATTGTACATCAGCCCAAAGGAATTTGCATGGGGGAAACGGATAAAGAATAAGTCAATTGAGATCTTACCCACATTGTTAGGCCAATATGCAAGGAATAAATGCAAACATTAATAGTATATTCATATCCACTTATACTGCACTGGAACGGCACTATGTTTTCCCTTCACATTCCATACAATTCCAATGTACCAAGTGGAAATTTTGGTAGGAGAATGGATCATAGTTCCAAGATGAAAGTTCATGAAGTTTTTCTAGCATGATAAAAGACACATGATGGCTTCAAATATAGTGGCAGGAGTAAGCTTAGAAGGAAAGAAAAAATGCAAAGGGTCTGAAACTAATTACATGAGATCTGGGGCAGGGTTGGGGTGCGTGGGGATTAAATAGTCAATTAGAACTTTAGACAAGAACTTTGAAATTTTGTAGTTTAAGCTAAGTAGAAATAAGGATGAGGACAAAGCTACTTTAGACTTTAGAGGACCATGTTCTCCCAACGAGTTAGGTGTTTAGATTCAATTATTAACAAGCTGGTATTCGAAAAGATTGATAATATAGTATATGGGTGAGTTGAATGAAACCTATTGCTAAATGGATTCTCTGTGTCGGAAATACCTATAAATTTGAAAGGCAAGTTCTTTACAACATATATTAGACCAATATACTTTATGATATTGGGCGCTGAGTTATTAAAGGACAACGCTTTCTATAACATTTTCCATAAGACACTAGGAAAGAAAATGTTAAATAGATGAGTGCCCATACTATAATAGACAAAATAAGAAATGAGAATACACTTCAACAAGAAGAGGTAGCACCAGTTCAGGATAAATTAAGGCAATGGCAATTTAGGTTAGAGGGGGCTTGTATTCACATGCCTTCCACAGTTTCACTTTTAGAGATATTTGCAAAAGATAAGTCTGAAAGAGATCGAGTCAACTTGAAGTTAGAATTATCTTTCCAAAATCTTACCCCAACACCATATAATCCAATACCACACACCTAACAAAGAAAGTTCAATATGCCATGCCATGCACATTTTGATATTAAACACTAATTCAGCAAACTAAGCAACTAGCAGCACACAGTACCAAAATTTTCCAAATGATTCTTAAAGTGGCTTGGCAACAATTTCAGCTTCTAAACTAAGCGAAACCTTTAGAAGATGCTTGAGCAATCATTGATCAGGTAGGTGCACATTGACAACCAGCTAAACAAATTGCTTAGAAGATTATAAATTTCAAATGATGATAGTGAAAAACTTGGGCAAAAAAAAAAATGTGTATTTTATAAGCAAAACAAAAGCCACGTTGTATCCATTAACTTCAATATGATAACTAAATTAACATGGTCATGTTAAGCCACAATGGAAAACATTCATAAGTCAAAAACGCCTAAATTACTTTGAATTAAGAAAACTCCACGAGTTAGCATGTATCTAAACTACATAGGACATAAAATATAGACAGCAGATCTCAACTAAATAGTAAATACAAATGTAGGAGTACCTGTAAATAGAAAACCACAAGAAGACCTCCAATAGCCTTTGACGGATTATCCATAGCAAAATCTAATAGGCATTTATGAAGATGTTTCTCCTCATCAGGATTCCAAGGTAATTCAATGATATGATCAACCAAGTTTCTCCAAATACAAAGACAACAAATTTCAGTCACCAATGCCTCCACCCAGAGTACCCAATCCCGGCAGTCATCTTTTACCTTATCTAAAGCATCCCTCAGTTTCTTATCCTTGACCTTTGTGCATACCATTCTCTGATACAAAAATGCTTCTGTTAGAAGCCCACATTCCACCCGGACTCGAACTGCAGTAACAGCCTCCCCAAGTGAAACTAATGAAGCTCCACCATCTTGTCCTGACCACCTCAAAACCATGAGAGCTGCATCAGGTTGCTGTCTCTCTAAGAGAGCCTGTGCAACCTTGGGATGAATTGTTGGGCTTGCAATTTCAGGAAGAAGGCGAGAGGCTTCCTAGCAATACAAGTGATGAATTATCAATGCACAATTAATACACCCAAAGCATCAATATGATGGTTCTGAAAAATATAAATTTGAGACAGAATCGGAAACCACAGGATTTGACACTTGGGGTTGGAAAATAAGTTGAAGAACCAGCATTACTTTCTCAATCAGATTTTCAAGCTACCTTTAAAACTTAAAATTAGAAGTTTTTGCAATTTTTTCAGCATTCCAGTTAAAAGAAATTGTACTTGTATATTACATGGTTGGATGTATGCATCTTGGTTTTTCCTTTCTTTCTTACATGTTGGTTTTTGTATGGGGCATCATGCTAACTTCACCTTCAATTACATCAATATATTCCAATTTGCCAAATATCTACCCAATGTATTCCAAATTCTATGTGAAGCTAAATTGAGACATAACAGAAAATGAAAACCAACGGATGTGTCAACCGACACATCCGAATGAGTATTCAATTCAAGTTGCTCAGTGAACTGCAACATAATAGCAATATATCTGGAATGCAATGCAAAACAAATTATTCAAACGAGCAGCATATTATACATACATTAGGTGAAAACCAAAGCCATGAAAAAATTAAGCCCCCGTTTGGCTCCCATTTTGTGGAAATGAAAATGGGTGGAATAGTATTTTTTTTTTTTTTTTTTAAATGAGTGGTTGAAAAGAAGGAAAAATTTTCAGTTTACGTGTAATATTATTTTATGAAAGATAGTGTGGTTGTAAATAGGAGAGAAAAATGAAATGTAATGGAATGGAAATTAATGAGGGTCAAACGGGAGGTAAAGATTATTTCGCAATTCTGTTAGAAAAGAAATATAGTGAACCAGCAGATCATTACACAACATTATCTGAATATTCTGCAAATATTAAATCAAAACCATCAACAGATTTGCAAAAGCAATGATGATTTCGAAGTTATAGATGGTTATATTGCTATAGAACAACTAAGCTCGCATTCCATTCAAACCAAAAATGACTATTTGTGAATTCAAATTCCAAAGTCCTAATGCTGTGAGGACAAACGGTAGTTTAATTAACAACACTGAATTCTAACTCAAAACGACTCTAAGATAATAGTTTCTCAATACATTCTCATTTTAAAAAGTTCACCTGCAGAGCTTCATCAGTGTGGTCATCCAGAAGATAAAAGGTAAAAGATTCCAGCAAGGAGTGCCTGGTTATGCTGAAAGTGGCAGCAAAGTCATCAACAATGTATCTCCATTTCTCATCAGGCACTGTCCACTGCCGATCAAATAGGTAATACAAGAACTATGCCAAAAGTTAAGGAATTTTAAAAAAGTAAAATTCTCAGATCAACACCATCTACCACCCCATGAGAAAAAACACTACTGCTAATTCCCGTATTAAGAGTATGAATGATTAAAATTAAACCAAATACCACATGAGAAAGGATACTATTGCTTGCTTTGCAACCACCATATCAGAATTTCCTTGTAAGAACAGCGAGTCAGCAGCAGCTCGAAGAGTTTCGAAAGGATAGAACCCTCCCTTTCCAAGTAACTTCAACCCGGAAAGTAAAGAGCCTCCATCTTTCTGCAAAGATGCAATTGATAACTCTTCTATATCATTATCCATATTTCCTCCATCTGTCTCAAGATTTGAAAGTGCTTCCTCAATGAAAAGGGTAGAACAACTTTGTCTGCTGGACTCTGTCTTCAAATAAAAGTCAGGCCATGAACGCTTACTGGCTGCTGATTTCCTATCTTGAACAAGCGAACACCACGACGCAAAATCGGAATGCCGAGATCTTACGTTCTCCAAAAATTGATGTCTTATACACCAAATTATAATCTCCATGTGCTGTAAATGAGGAAACAGTGCAAATTAACAGTTTCCCACGTTGTACGGTAACATTTATCGAGTAATGGCCCACCTAGAGTATTATCTAACAATTAAACCAGAGAAAACCCAAAGCCTTTCAGAATTTAACAAATCTAAATAATATAAAATAACGGAAGCATAGATATAATATACCTACCAAAAGGGAGGCCCAATCACATGCACATGGTAATAACTATATGATCAATAAAATGTTGAAGAGACCTCGAGTGAGATACTTTGTGAAGAAAACTTTTAGATTCTCATTGTATATACCTGATTTCTCCATAAAATAATTATTAGATATTGAACCAAGACGTTAATTAGATTTCTCTAAGCAAGTAAGTTGAGCATAAATAAAAAACTTGGAACAAGCAATTTAACCTGTTTTGTCTTTAGTGTACTCTCTTGAAGATGATGCAAATCATGAAGCTTTGCTGAAAAAGAACCTTTAAAGGATGATTCCAAAACCTCGAGAACCGTGGATATACCAGCTAGCTTCACAGATATTTTCAGAAGCAAATTTAAACTCTCTTTCATCTCTAGGGACGTAAGGTTATCTATTAAGGATGTCAAGGTGTGCAGAATCAATCCATTTTATACCTCACAATTATTAAATTTAAAAATAGATTATCAAGATTTAAACCTTAGGATACATATTGCTTGAAGCTGCGTTAGAATGTTTTTGAATGCCCTTTTGCACCAATCTTTAACAACCTTCTCATCAAGCAAGAAGGCAATAACAGGATCACTGGAGACAGCAGTTTCATCCATGCAAACATCTGTAACATCTGTGCCCTCCATTAAGGAAAAAATAACTACCAATGTAAATGATAAGCAATTCAATCTCATAGCAGGAGAAACATTCAAATCTATTTTATAGGGTGTTCTGAAATAACATTGAAGGTAATGCTTCTATCCAGCCCAAAATAAGTAAGAGAATGTTTATGGATACAGTGGCAGATTAGAGAAACCAAATTATTCTCCAACGAGACATCAAATAGAGAATAAAGCCTTTGAACATCTGCAATCAATTGATCCTCCCTATAATCTTTATCCTGCAACCTGTCATCACACCTTTTGGAGATAAGACGAGCATCTATACACTCATAGTAAAGGCGAAGCTGGAGTCTATTTCCATCCTTTGGCAAGGGATTTCTACATATTGGACAATTGTCGCATCGCTGACTACATTCCTCACATAAGGAGGCATGGCCACAAGATATCAAAACGCTTTGTACGCTGCGTCCACAACTTCTCAGATCCCTAGTTGCCCGACATCGCTCAACTTTAGCTTCACTGCACAACTCAATTGGATCAATTGATGCCAAATGTTCCAATGCTGCCTGCAAATATAGGGGATATAAGCTCCCCAGCTTCTTAAATCATTAAATAGCCTCAGCCTCAAGTATGAAACGAAATATCCCTTAAGCTGAAAATTATGCCACTTAACATTATACTACTATCATTCCAATTTTCGTTCTTCAAAAAACGGAGGCCCAAGCATTTTTTAAACTACATTTTAATTGTAATGAAAAATCGAGTATTACATCTATAATATGCATACGAGTGTACATAAGAAGCAGGAAACCAAACCATACAGCAAAAACTTAACTCTAAAACCCTAACTCACCGACCCATAACCCGTCTTACTGCGCAATTAAATTACTGAGACCCTTTTGACTTTTTAGTTTGAGTTTCAGTAGAAATCAGAATGAAGCTGAACAGCCAGGACCTAATGTAACAACAAGGATTTTAATACATAATAACAAATATATCATATTATGAATACCCAAAGTGTGTGAGAGAGAGATAGAGAGTAAGTACGTACCTGGACTAGGGAATAAGAGTAATTGGGTGGACGAGGAGGAGGTGAGGTCTGAGAGCTGGAGCTGGAGCCGGAGCCGCCGCCTCCGGCTTCGTCAAATCTCCATCCCTCCATTTCTCTACAAACTCTATTGTTGATTTATGTGATTAGAAAGATGGGAATTAACTATTAATGAAAGTAAAGAAAATGGTTACGCAATTTGAGATTGTACTGGCCGAGTTCACCGTGCAATTGAAAATTGAAGCCTCTGGTGTGCGTGTGAGAAGGGGAAAGGAGGGAGAGATCAGAGTAGGGTATTTGAACAATTTCGAAAGTAGTTTGAAGGGACGTAAAATTAATTTTCGTAAGGACCACAAAAGTTACGTTTTTATCTCAATGGTACCCCCAGAGCTTTAATCATTTATTTTTCTTTTTATTTTGATTCAACCTTGTCTTTGCTTACTTAAAAGAATAATGCTATTTAGTTTTATTGGGATTGTAACCCCAATTTAGGTGACATTAATGTAAAATTAACTGATATATAAAATTAAATAACTTATTTAATTTCACATTTCTCATAACATATCATCTATGAATTATATTTGCTGTACACTCTTGGGTACAACAATGGATGGCAGTCCCTTTATAGGAGGGGGCCCTATGATCACCCCCATGTGAGGGGACTATAAGACTTGTACAATACTATAAACAGGTTAACACATCATTTAAACTAGTGATGTAATCCTAATAGGACGTCAAAGCATTACTCTACTTCAAAAGATATACCTACAGTACCGAATAACATTTACACTACTACTGGCAAGAAGAGAATTCAATTGAGTGTATATTTCTGAGTCATTTTTGAAATGAACACTTGTTACAAAAATTGACACAAATGGCCAATTTGAATCAAAATATCCCCAAAAAAAAAAGAAGAAAAAAATCACATTTTAAGAGTATCTCTGAAAAATTCTCTATTTTTAAAGAGTCTATTTAGCAATTTAGAGATTATCTATAAATATAGTGTAAAATTTTTTTATGTATTCCAACAAGCTCCTTTATTTTTAACACTTGATTTTACTACTCCATTTTTTTTCAATATTTTATTTTCACTAGCTCCTCTTTAGATTATTATATAATTTTCCCATTGGAAATTAAAATACTTTGAAAGCATTTAATTTTAGGTAGTGTTTGATATAGTTTATTTTCCATGGAAACCGCCTTTTGCATGTGTTTGATAGTAAAAATTTTCTAGGGAATTTCTTTTCCTTCCCCCATCACGTGATGCATTTTCCTTCAATGGTGGGAAATCAATTCCCATTGTGTGAATTGGGTTTTCCAGCTTTTTATATATATATATATATATATAATTTTCTTTATTTTTAGCAATGGGAATAAAATCTATCAACAATTGTAAAAAAATTTATTCATTTAATTGACAATTTTTTATGAAAAACAAGGCCAAACGAACATCAAAAAATCCAAAATTTCAACATTTTTCAGATAAAAATTATACTAATCAAACACATTTAATTAATAATTCACACTAAAACAAGTTCTAGGCAATTCAATTTCCTGAAATTCGTTTTATTTCCACCCAAATTTTATTCTTGCAATCAAACAAACCCTTAGAGAGTGTATTTATCTATCCAAATTCTCCATTTTAAAACGTTAATTTGAAAAGTTTCTTGAAAGACAATTTTAAGAGTTAACTATTTAAAATAGTGATATTTTTTATATTTAAAGAACTTCTTAAAAATACTCTAATTAAATCTTTATTAAGAGTTGGATCAAAATATCTTATCCTAGATTCCATGTACTTCTCGTTGCTGACCAAATTTTAAAAATCAATTTTCTCTCCTCATTTAGCCTATATTTGAGCCCGGCTTTTTACAAATTCATTTTTCCTTAAATTCATTTTCAATCACACGCTCTCTCAATAAAATAATTTACACGTAAATTCAAAATTATTTCTTACTTTTTAACCACACATTCTCAAAAAATTACTATTGTAAAACATATTTTACCATTAAATGGGACTCAAATATATATTCACATCATATTTGAACCCCTTCTTCTAAAAATTTATTTTCAATTGCATATTTTTCAATAAAATAATATTACACGTAAATTCAAAATATTTCCTTAATTTTTATCTACATATTCTCTATATATCTGCTATTCAAAGTACATTCTTTCCCCAAAAATAGATCTCAAACAAGAGCTTAATCTCAACAAGTTAAAATCTTACAAAAGGCATTCAACCTCCTAATTTCTTTCCTTTCCGTTCTCCCTCCTAATTCTTCCTCTATAAAGAGCCTGTTTGAGAGTGATTTTGAGAATTAATTTTTTGATCGATAGGAGAAAAGTGGGGTTTACCTGTGAAAGAAGAAATCAAATATGACGGTTGAAATAGTGAAGTGACGATAAAAAAATCAATTTTTTGGGGCAAAAAAGGCTCCCAAACAAGCTGAAAGACTATTTCTCTCTCCATGGCCAGTCTTTCGACTATATTTATTGCACGAAATCTCTAGATTAATGTAATGATTTTGTTACTCTTTCATTGAATTTATTTTTTTTATTTTTTATTTTTTTATGAAAAAGATGTGCAGGTATGTGGGTTTAAAAAAATGGGTTTAAAAAAATGTTTACTTTTTCATAAAGAGCATCAAAGTATAATAAACCGATTTGACACAAAAATGTCTACAGTTACTTGCTTCAACTTACCTGCACCATGAATCAATGCAGGCCCACAGTGATAGCCAAAAAAATTGGCCCAACCACACTATAGTGGGGGCTGGGGGCTCGAACAGGGGCCACATGTCTTGTTTCTTTTATTTATAAAGCTTAGTCTTATTCAATTCAAAGTACCGAAATTATCATAACACTTTTAGTCATTTGGACAACGCATAACTGGACTGCATCCCTCGTGTATGGATTTATTGGATCCGATGGTCCACGGTTCCCTTCATGATCTCCGTCACGATTGCACCAAATTGGTGAGAAGTCCTTATAGCTGATTATTTTTGTGGCGTACCTTCCGAAATAAATGCACAAAGCACAAGCACAAGCACAAGAACATTTCCTTTCAATGATCCATTCTCGTCATTTTGAAAGTCCAATTATTTTACATGGGAATGGCCTTCTATTTCTATATACAGGGCTCGGTAGGGACGTCAAACGGACCGAATGGCTCGGGCTCAATCCCACAAGCCCAAAAAATATGTAAATTTACCCAAAAAAAAGTCAAAAAATATGCAAAAAAAAAATTAAAAAAAATCATAAGTTCTCGAGTGGTTCGCGGGCTCGGCTCGCCGGCTCGTTGCTTGGCTTGCCACAAGCCCAAGTCAAGCTTGTGGGTTAAAGGGCCAAGCCAAGCCATTGCCATCCCTAGATCCGAGGAGTGTGGTGGCGAAAGTTCTTCCTACATTCGTTCATTGTCTAATAAAACTTAAGGTTGAATGAATTAACCTTACTCTGGGGGATTATCATTAATCATCCAGTGATAATAATAGTATGGATTTGTACTGTGTAGTTTTAGGTAATGATTTATTTCCAAACATTTTTAGATACATTAGTGTTTTGGTTTTTTTTTTTTTTTTTTTTAACTTATAAATAAAATTTTTTATTATTTCGATTAAAAGATAAAATAATTTTTAAAATAAGTTGTTTAATTATTTCATTTGTTACAAAATATTCAAGACGGATTTTTTCATGACAAATAGTGACTTTATTAACGAAGAAATATTCAAGAAAAATTGTTGAAAACGAAAATAAAATTTGTGTCTGAATCTTGTTTGATTTTGGAGCGAAATTAATTTGAGCACAAACGTCGCAATGATTTTATAACATGAAGAAATCAGCAACTCACAAATAAAATTTCAAGGTTGAATTGGCTCAAATTTCAAGAATAATTCATTGCAAATTACATTGAAATCTCTGTTATACTGTAAAACATCAACAAAAGAATTTTCGAGCACCTAAATCATTTGCAACTATATTTTTTCAAACATATACGACGATTTTTTTTAAGATAGATTTAGCCATTTATAGTATTATAAATTAATTGATATAATTTAAAATGTTAAATTATAATAGCAATGGAATTTGCAATGGCAAATATCTCTTGCAAAAATCTGTTACGACGATGTATCTCAAGATTTTGGCTATTGATTTTGATTTCTGATGAACCTTACATATTTCTTTATGTGCAAATTATGTGACGATAATAGTTTTGTTGTAAAATTCACCATAAAATCAATAAAACTTTTTTTTTCTTTTTTCCTTTTTGAACAAAACGTGCAAAAATTTACTGGTAATGTAGCTTATAGGAATCGTGCAGAGGGATATCCAACTATATTGGTACATCCATAAAATACTCATAATCTATGAAAAAATTTAATAAAATCAAAGAACGCAAGACTTTAAATCAAAATAAAAGTCAATAGAAACTATAAAACTGGCTTACTAAAACCATCATAGAAATAAAAGAATAGAAAGAAGCAGCAGTCCATTTCCATGTTGGGTGTTGGCTAAGAAAGTGCAAGTAGTAAGTACACGAATTGCGTTCAAGTAATAAAATGAAATTTTTGAGTTTGGATTGTCAATCTCTCTAGAAATGTATACTTCCGATTACACAACTTTAATTAATTTAATTATAACAATATTAGTCTTTGACACGTGTGTTGCACGAGTTTTGTATTTATTGTATTTTTATTAGCGTCAAAATTGTAGATTTTTCAAAACTGGTTGAAGATTTGAAATATTTGGTGAAATTCAATCATTTGGTTTATTGGATTATCGCAGGATGCATGAAAATTTGTTTTTTGTTTTTTTATTTTTTCCTCATTTATTTATTTTTTATTTCTTTTGTTCATATTATAAATATTTTTTTTCAATTTAAAATCCTTTTTAATTCTTTTTTCTTTATGAAAAAACTTAATTTTTTCAATTTTAATTACATAATATTTATATGTTCTTTATTTAATTTTCACAACATTCTTTTGTTAATTTGTTTTGTTTTTATTATATATTTTTTGAAGATTGTTTAAAAAAAAATTCTTCATATTATAAATTGATTTTTGATCGATTTAAAATTCTTTTTCTTCATGTTATAATAAAATTAAATGATTTAATAAATTAACGAAGAAAAAAATTGTAGGAAAAAAAAGATATTATAAAGTTTTTTTAATTAAATTGAAATAATTAAAAATGAATTTTATTTAATTAAAATTTAAAAAATGATAAAATGAAAAGAATTTTAAATCGAAAATAAACTATTTATAATACGAAGTAATTTTTTTTAAAAATATAATAAAAATA